AACCAATGAAGGGCAATCTCCCTCTAAGCCTCCTTATAACATAACATCACAATGACAAAAATAATAGTGGAAAAATTCAATATCTATCTAATTGATGTATTAGCAACTCAGTGCCTTGACAAGAAGCCTGAGGTAAGAAAGCACCAGCTGTCTGAGATGGGACATCCGCCTTCAAATTGAATCAGTATTTTCATGGTTTGAGATCAGAATTTTTATTTTTTTTTCTTTTCTTTTTTGTTGCTAATTTTCTGACCTGAAGGATGGAACGGGGGGGGGGTAGGGGGGATCTGTCACAGCTGTCTTTTATATTATCATGAAATGCAAATATAGCAACTGATTAATGGAATCAAATGAAGACAGAAATGTGTGTATGTGTACAGGGGTATTTATGTGGACCATTTGGTTAGTAGAAATGATTCTTTAAAATGTAGTAATTTTGCAAGCATAACATTCATGTTACACAGATGTACTAAAAGATGATATCTAGCAAAAAAAAAAACACCACACAAACCCCTGCCATCCATCACTAAATCATTAGTGTATTTCTTTAGTCTTCATTATCAATTGTAAAAATCATTAAAAACTATAAAAATAGAGCAAAAACAAAGACACAGTACGTGAGGAGGGTTAATAAAGCCACCTCATTAGTTCACCCATTATCCAGGGTCACCAGACTGCAACCAGGTCTTGAGGGACCTTCAGAAGATCAGAAGAGATGGGCCAACCTCACCTTAAGGGAGAAGATTCCATAACACAGGTGCTATTGCAAGGCCCACCACCCAGGGCTTACCAAATGTAGCTCCCTAGATGACAGAACTTCCTAGATGACATAACATGCACTCTCTGTTGGATCTGTGTGATGGACAGATGAAATTAGGGACAGATCAAATAACCCAGTCCCTTGTCATGAAGTTGTTTGAGTTGTTTATAAAAAAACTAGCTGATAATAATCCACCATTGCCCGGGTATTTATAAACGTTGAAACATTTGTCTGATATGGGAACCATTGAGAGAGCCTTTCTTCTCCTTACTCCCATGCCCATCATCCCTGCCCTCTCCCTTTTCCCTCCCATGACTTTTCTTTCCTGCCCTGTCTACGATCCCGGCACATTGCCCCAAATCCATCAGGCGCTTCCGCATTGGTCCACTAGTAGGCGAACATTATGGCTGGCTTTCCAGAGGAAGCTGCGAAGGAACTGACATCACAAACAACCACTCTCACTCTCCTTAATGGCCCAAGCTCTCCCTACTCCCTCCCATGACATCACAAACAATTGCTGCTCTAGGACACCACACTCACTCTCCTTAATGGGCCACGCGTTCCAGAGTTATGCTGGAACACACACACACAACAGGGTGTCTTCCCCCCCCCACAGTATTTATATATAATAAATAAAAAGCAGAAGATAGAAGAAGAAGATAATAATAAAGGTGGGAGATCTCTCTTTCTCCCCCACTCAGTCTCCATCCACCAACATCTTGAAATAGATCCAGAAACAAACTGATAATGAGTGCAGATCTTGATGCAGAGTTGTAATATTTCTTCAAAACCATGTTGGTTTTGAGCAAGTGACATGCTTACGCTGTCACATGGTTGTTTCCTGTTGCAGTTGCAGCCCACTTATAGCCCAGATGTGACTGTCCTTTGGCTGCTTTATATTAAAGGGGGGGGAACCTCCCTGCATCTTAACTTGCTTGACCTTTGCTAGAACCAGGAATAGCTTGTCCTTTTAATTATCTGTAGTACAGTTACATAAAGTGTTACTCCATTTCATTTTGTATATAATCAATTAAAAGGCAAAAGATTAACTAACTGGCAATGTGCTTGTGGCAATGAAGCAGATGATGTATCTGAAGAATACTTAATATCCAATTATTACTATATTTTTCAGAGTATAAGACGCAC